TATCAACCATAAACTGGAAACCTTGTGGGGTTTGCTTTGTGGGTGCAAATGTTCAGTGGATGAGACAGCATGAGGGAACTTAGTGCCTTTATTCTGATTAGATTTTTTACTTTGGATTGGAGTAGACAGGATTATTGCTTAAACTGGATTTGGATGTGTTTGGGGATGGAAGTGTATCAATGTACTCCTCAAATGGTGTCTGGTTGATCATGAATTTAGGAAGGGATAGCTAAAAAAGAGCACTCTGGGTGCTTTGCATATCTAGGACAGTGTTTTGGAGGCTTTTGCTTTGTGTTCTTGTGTTCCTTATGTTCAGGCGTTACTTTTGATTATGTCGCTTGAAGAATTTAGCATATGGTTGAGGCAGATGCTAAGAATCTGTTAGCTGCAATTCTCCAAGTTTGACAGCAAGTGATCTACTTTGAATTCAGAGGGAATCTGCAAGTGGATCACTATCTTTTTTTTTTTTCTTTAAATGTAGAATAGAACAGTTTTGATTAGCTGCCATCTGCAGCATCTTCAGCTTTGTAACAGCAGCATTTAACATTTCCCAAGGCACTTAATGAGCTTGATGGGTGCAGTGGGGTACTCTTCAGAGCCCTTCTCACCCTCTGCCTGGCTTTTCCTCTGCACCTGAAACTCTGTTTTGGAAAACAGGGCCTAGCATGTGGTACTACAGTTAAAAGACAAAAGACCCAGTTAAACTGAGTGGAGCATAAACCATGAGATAAAGAAGCTATTTGTTTCAAAGAAAGGATATTCGTCTCTGTTAGGTGACTCTTCATTCAAGTAGGACCAATGGCGGTCAGTAGTCAATCATTCCTTATGTGACGTTTGAGATCTTAGTGGAGTGATTAATGAGCTAGTGATAGTTATGCATACAGGAATCTAGAGAGTAGAACTGAGGCAATTAGGCTAATGAAAGGTGATTTGTATAAATCTTGCCCCCAAAGTGAGATTTTGATTGACGTTGCTGAGATCTGAAAGGAGGACGAGTTCTTGGATCTGTTTCTGGGAACTAATGAAAGCAAGTTTCAGAGTTAACTGCCTGTTTCCACCAGCAGTTAGGAAAACAAAACCAGTTACTGAAAATGTGGCTCTAAAGCGAAGAATGTCAAACAGTGGAACCTCAGTTTTAAGGTTTTTCAAAACCACCTGTATCAAATATATTCTGTTTAGGAAACCTTCTCTCCCCTGCCAACCCCATCTACCCTGACTGTAGCCTTGAGCACAGTCTGAGCTTGGGATATTTGTCTACCTCTAGCTGTGCAGATCACAAACTTCTGCTTGCCAAGCCCATTTTCCAAGCGTCTCTGCCACAGAGCTGCATCCTGACCTCTACGCAGCTGAGTCTCTGCTAACTCTGCATTTATCCAGGCTTGAAGCAAGGAATGCAGAAATGCTTCCTAGGGTTTTCAGTGCCTATTATTTGGAATTGGTTTGCAGCATGCTGGGGTCGAACTTGTTTGTTCCTCCCGGGCACCTTGAAGAGGGGGTTGTGCAGAAATGCTTTCAGCTGCAACATTTGCAGGGAAATGTCTGGCTATTTCTTCCTTCTTTTCTCTCTGTTCCAGACAAAACCATGGATTCAGGATTGTGGGATGAGAACAGCATCCATGCAGAAAATACAAGCAATTATAGGTGGCATTTCAACAGCAGTTTCTGATTCCAGCTTTCAGTACAGGGCCCTTTGTAAAAGGGGCTGCCACTCCTTTTTGATTACTTAAGGTTGTATGAGACCTAACGAGTGCCAGGTTATGCACATCTGTGTGTCTGTCAAACCAGAAGCTTGTTACTCTGGCTGCCTTGGGTCTGGCAGCTCCAGCTTGCCAGGAGCCCTGGTCAGTCCAGTGTTGTCAGATCAGTAGCACGGGCTGGAGCAGTGGAGCTAAACGACGCTATCGGTCACTGTGATGTAACCAGCATTCCAGAAAACAGTATCTGAGCTTTTAGAGAATGGGCCTTTCAGCCCCTCCTGGGTGATGGGCAGGCCTTTGACTGCACTGGGGAGTACAGCGTAGGATAGCATCGACTTGCTCAGCTGACTGGAGTTTTAGACATGTGAATGCAGGCACAGTGTTTCCCTGGCAAGATACACACTGCCCAGACCTCCTTGGCATCTCGTTAATAACCAGATTTCTGAGAGAGACTGATATCCTCGCTTGTCCAAACCTTGGCAACCGGTTACTAACAAGTTGTGTGGGAGCAAACTCTTGTTTAAAGGACCTCACCTGCTCAGCAGCTCTCCTAAGATATTTTAACTTTACCGTGGAACCTAGCAGGAGATTTAATTACATACTTGGCATTTGCAGGTGGCAGTAGAAGGCACTTTTGCTGGGCTGAAGGCCAGGTGGTACCGCTTCCTAAAATGTTTGGATGTCACCGTGGTCAGTGCTGTCCGTTATGGCGTGCTGAAGCTTGAACTTCTCTTTGAGCACACGGGTGGGGAGTTTTGCCAAGAGCAGGCTAAGACATGACTCTAGAAGGGACCTAGGAATCGCAGTGTCAGGAAACTAGGAAACTGCTGGGGTCAGTAAAGAAAACTTTGCCTGCAGTATCTTTTCCTTTGCAAGGTAGAAAGATGACAATGTGCTGCATCCTTAGTGAAAATTAATTAGTGTTGTGGGATAGACTTTGCTTTATATATGCTGCTGTTGTGGTTTTCTGTTTATTTCATTAAAATTCAGTCTTTTATTGAAACCACTGGCTCTAATTTCCTGATTATTCCCTTTGCAAAGACCAAATGTCGAAGTTATTGTGTAGCTAAACCAGTTCATCAAGAAAAACACAAGTAGTGATACAACTAATAATATATTAAAAGTCTTTGCAGGCGTTTTGCTGCCAATCCACATCTAATTAAAAAAGCTGAAAAGTGTATCTAATTCAGGTGGGGCAAAACTGTGCATAATTGTCTTTTCCGAGGAGCCTTGCCTGCTGCTTTGTGTAGGCAGGGTAAATAGGGTGTGTGTGTCGTCGCTGGTCCTGGGCTTGGGTGGAGAAGCCCAGTCTGACTGCTGCAGGCTTGGCACGAGGCCGAGGGTGCTCACCAGGAGTGCAGCACCTGCTGCCGGCTCCTGGTGCCGCAGGGTGGCTGCTCTGTGAAGAATTCCGTGGATTAGATGTCCTTTGATTGTACCTAGCAGCTCTGTAGCAATTTATTCCTCCCTCCCATGTTCTACTCCATTCCCCTCCTCGCTGCTTTTTGCAGTGTCTCGACTGGCTCATCTCTGCCCATTCCCTTTTTCTCTAATAACTGTGGAAGCGTGCAAGAGTCCAGGATGTCCGTGTTCATGCGGTCCAGGTGAATCTTGTGTTTCATAGCGCAGCCACAGGCCTTCAGGTGGATAAATCTTCCATGCCTTTCCGTGTGACTGTGCCTTCTTTCAGCTGTAGCCTGTCCATTCGTTCCTTCAGGCTGCTTCCTCCTCTGGTCCTTTCCTTTGGGTTGGGTTTCTGAGGTGGGTTTTGTTTTTTTTTTTTCCAAGATGGGAATTTGGTTTTGGCAATCTATTTTAAAATTCCCGTTTGAAAGTTGGGACAGAGAATGCAGTTTTCTACTAAAATGAATGCATTGCATTTCAAGAAATAGCTTCCATGGTAAGAAAAGAATTAATTAACGCACGTAAATTCTTTGCCCTTTCTTTGTAGATTTTCCCAACTGCAGTAAAGGGTTACCTTTGCCCAGATACCCAGATAGAGCACTGCTTTCTGCTGTGACACAACTTCTTTATGGAGTACGCTGCTGGCATACGAGTCCTGGATACCCAGTCACTGAACAAAGATTTTTCAGTGAATTGTGTATTTCAAGGCGAGAGTGGGAGTAGGTTCAGGTTAATCTTAGCCCCCCCGGCTCTCCTCCCCTCAACTGCCTCCCCCAAAAATTGCAATCACTGATGTTATTTTGGGCATTCCTAATTGTCGAGTGTTTGGTGCCACTAACAAATGTGAACTGTGTAGGAGCTTGTCCCATACAGCACCTTCACGGGATGTGTGAATCCCAGGTAATTTTCTCTTTGGCTTAATTAGGGTAGAAACTTAAACTTTGGTCTTCAGTTATTAGGAGAGGAACCTCTTTGTACAGAGGTACATTCAATACCTGGAAATTAATTAAAAAATGCTTCCTTATTCCTTAAGTAATGCCTTGCTAACCTGTGGAGCTCAGTGCCGTACGACAGCTAATCTGAACAGCTTAATAGCCTTCAAAAGTAATTAGACTTTTGGATGGATACCATCCTCCGTTATCTTACTCAGGAGAAAGATAAACTCTCCAGCTTCAAGGACAACTTGGTAATGGCCAACGTGCAAAAAAACTTGACTGTCAGCCATTGCTCATTAAAAAAGCTTGAGGATCAGTCGTTGCTGCTGCTCAGTTAGGGGAGGGATCAAGGGCAGATGGTCTGCTGGTGGATAGCGCTTGCTGAAAAACACGTCTGCAAACCGTCTGTTGTCTGGGCCGCCTTGATTTTGTTTTGAAAGTGTAAAACCTCCAGGACCATGAGTGAGATGACATGTCTCATGTACTGCTTGTCTTGGGATGTTTGTACATAAACTCCGGTACCGCAGTGGGGCTTTTGTCAGAAGAGCAACTGAAATTAGTGTTGCAGTTACTGATAGATTTCTACCACAGCAATACTCATTTGGATTTTTCTTTTTTAATTATTAATTGGAGATGTACGTTTGCTCTGTATGTCTTGGCACTGCATGCCTCCTACAGCAGGGAGAGTGAGATTGCTTCCTTGTTTGCCTACCTACACCAAGGTGTCAGTTACGGGAACCCTGTTGACACACTCATACTTGTGGCAGGGAAAGAACAGTGTAACTGTAAAATTACCAGTTGATACGAAGGTGTCTGATGTTATTTTGCAAACTATAAGAGATTTTTTTTTTCTATATGACTTTGTAAAAACAGCTTACATGGTCAGACTTATTGTGTGAATTTGTTTGGGATCTTGGGAGATTTGAATTAGCAAGCATCTTAAAGTTATCCGCCTTTTTTGCAGGGCATTATAGAAAAATCGAAAGTGAAAGGAATTCCTATCGTTATTGACGCTGTAAGTATTTTCTTGATTCAGTCAGAGGTTTGACACTTAAGAAGCTGTTCACTGAATGTTTTTCTTACTGGGTTTTGCAGGATGGACTGTGGCTCATTTCCCAGCAGCCTTCTCTTATTCAGGGCTACCAGCGAGCTATTCTTACCCCCAACTACATGGAGTTCAGCAGACTGTATGAAGCCATGGTGAGCCGTTTTCCTTTCTGGTAGTTAAGTACGTGCAAGTTTAGTTTTCAGTCTTTAGAAATAAAGAACTTTATTACTGGGTTAAACATGACGTGCTGTTCCGTATATGCAAGGGAAGCATTCTCTGGGATAATTGCCAGAGATTTTATTCCATGGGATAATTGCCACAATGATGCATATTCTTTAACAGAGCTATTTTTTTAAAGACGACCCTTTCTTACGCATTTTTTGGCACTGCAGTGGGTATGAAAAAAAATACCTGGAAAGACTGATGATGATGCCTTACGGTTTGGGTGGGTTTTGCCCCACCCCCCACCCCCATACCCTGAAGTAGCATGTGTTAGAATATGTTGTTCTAGTAGTAAAATATGTACTGTGTATGGAATTCTTGTGTTGTAGCTTAGAGACCCCGTAGACAGTAGTGATCATCATGGATGTGTATTAAGACTCAGCCAAGCCATGGGGAATTTGACAATTGTTCAAAAGGGAGAAAGAGATCTTATTTCAGATGGAGAAAAAGGTAAGTGAAACCTTTTGCTGTTAGCAATGTGAGGGGTTTTTTTTTGTTGTCGGTGTTTGCTTTCAGTTGTAGTCCAATGGTTGACTGTATTCCCCTGAAGACTGAAGGGGAGGGATGGCTGTCTTTACACATCACCTTCAGAAGATTTGTGTAAATCTGTATTTTAGAGGAATGCCACTTAATTCATTTGCTGAAAAAAGTTGCTGATTTTATTTCTCATGTAAATGGCTGTAACATATGTTTTGCATTATGCAGGTATTAAGAAATCAATCTTTTATTCTTCGTGAACGGTTTATAAATCCTTAGTTGAGTTGGCCTGTGTAAGTGCAGATGTTGTTGCCAAGTTTATGCAGGATAATAATGTCGGTTCTCCGTGTGTTGGAGTGTCTGAACAATTAAGGCATCTTGAGGTGCATTAGCTGCTCGGTTCCTTGGTACTGTCCACCGTGCTGTAGATGAGCTTGTTCATATATGACTTGTTCATATATGACATATATGACATATATGACAATAGCCCTGACAATTAAAACCAAACAAAACCAGAAAAATTAACTCTAGATATTGTCATTACAGCTTTCTTAAGCAGTTACTAATAGGGTTAAAGTATACTCAGTAAAATGGGCTGCCTGTCTGATGCTTTCTGTACCGATCGTTTACTGTGACGAGTATAAAATTAATTCATGAGTGCCTTCATCTCATTTTGACTATGTGGTCTTATTTCACATCCCTAACAAGCAGCAGCTCTGCCTCTGATGACTCGAAATGCTAATCTCTGATAAATGTTTACGCCGCTTCAGAAACGTCTTGTACCTACAGTCGATTTTTCATTATTAGGAGCCATGGGAGTCTTTTGTAAGAGGGAAACAGATGTAATACGACAACTGGTTTGTGCAGAGCCACCTTCCACATACCCCCGTCAGTACAGACACATCAGGAGACCGTGGAGCAAGCTGGGACCTGGGGGCGGTACCGTTAGGCCTGCGGGGTGAAGGCGTGCGGTCGGTCACAGAGCGCCCACGTTGCCCTGTGTCAATTCCACTGCCGTCCTGGCACCCCTAGCAGGCTTGAGTTGTAACTTCGGACGGTCAGGTCGGCCTTAAGGGAGGATGAACTCTGCCAGAGGATAAAATATCCTGGCTCCAGTTTATGCCAGTTAAGAGAGCTTTAGAGCGCTGGAGTGTATCTTCTTTCTCTGTTTTTATGTCAACAGTGTGCTTTTTATGCAGGACTGTTGGCTTTTTTAATGAATGACAGGAGAACTGGGTGAGCGCTTTAGATGGAGCACGTTACCTAGCATAGCTCTGGTCTCCTTCTGAGCTGTTATTCTTGAGATGAATGTATCCCCAGCATTGCTGGAGAGAGGGAATCAGAAAACCAGGGAGCACTGAAACTGTTTCCAGTGTCAATTCTGAATGTTCAGGTGTGGCGCAGTTTTGGTGTGTGTCTTGTAATGCTTTTGGGGCTCCTCATTGTTTTTATTTCCCTCCCCGCCTTGTTCTTTGTTGTGTTCTATTTTTTTTTCTCTTAGTTAAGTGGCTTTGTGATTTGAAATAAAAACAGTTCCGTGCCTTTACAGCAGTTGTTTGGTGTCCAGCTGTAGGCTGCTTTCTTGTCCTTACCTCGGTTCAGCCACCAGTGCTTTCTCTCTCCTGGATTATAGACATTATGGGCAGCATTGCTGAGGTGTAAAAAGGCAGTTGTCAGGTTTAATGCAGGTTATAATGTCTGCTACAAACACTGGTTTTAGGGTTTGTGTTGCTTGCAAGAACGTTCCTGAGAATTCTGCAGAAACCATAGACTTCAGCTTCCTTTTAACAGGAATGTTCTTTGGGTCTGTGGGAGTTACTGTCGGTCAATTTTTTTAAAAGCTTCTCAAATGCCAGGTTACAGTGAGAAAGGAGATGCTGCTGTCTGCTCTGTGCCACAAGGCGGAACACGCTGTCACGTCACTGACCTTGAATTCTCTCACAGGTTTTTCGCTCTTAACTTCTTTTTTCATCTGTCTGTTCTTTTGATCTGATGTTGGTTTTTTTCAGCTAAGGCAACATACCTCATGATTCCAGTGTGAGGGAAATCCGGATCATTGGATGAGGCCAATGTCCTCTGAGCACAATCAAATATGAAAAGATCTGTGTTCTCCTCTTGCCTTTTCTTTTCATGTCATTGTCCATTTATGGTGCTTAAGCTGTACCTGTTTTCAGGCACTTCCTGCTTGCCCACTTAGCACACTGAGACTGTACTTCCCTTATATCACTTGTAAACTTTCTCCTTCGGGAATATACTGCGTGTATCCTTTCGGGGGGGAGGCGGAGGGGGGGAGTGGAAAAAGCAAACCAAGTCTCAGTGCTCTCCAGGAAAACCAGAAACTGGAGAAGTTAACTACGTAGCTTTAGCATTCTGTGCTGTTGTGGAAGGGAGGTTTGCTGAAGGTGCCAAATTTGCAGCAGGGGAGACTGCCTTGGTGAATACTTTTCTAGCTTAGAGTGATTGTAGTGGTTATTTTCACAGTACTTGTATTCATGAGTCTGTAGGAAATGCAGTAGACAATTTACTTGTGTTAGTTGAAGACAAAACAGGTTATCCGGTGATTTGATAGCGGGCTGGAAGTGCAAGTGTGGGTGAAGGACTGCTGTCAGCAGATAGCTCTGTAATCTACGTGGACAGGCACAACAGATCCTGATTGGAAGCTGTAGCTTAATAAATTCAGATTAAAAGTAAGGCAGATTTTATTAACAGACAAAGAAATTAGTTAAGACGGTAACATACCTCGAACTTTCATAGACTGCCAAACTGTGGAGTGTCTGGATACCTCTGAGTTACGTGTTTATACCTTAGATTAGATGATGCGGCTGGTTCCTTATGGCCTGAAAACCCGTGCTGAATCACATACACGGCCTCTGTGAAATCAGTAGCAGCCACTGTACAGGAGGTTGTTCTAAAAATCTGTCTCCATTTCAGTTATGAGCTGCCAACTGCCCTGTAAACGTAATCACCAAGATTTTAAATTAAGTTTTATATACTCTTTTTCTCTTTCCTTTTGCAATTTCACATTATAGCTTGGTCTACAGTTGTTGATTCCCTGCTCTACACAGATGAGCTTCACCATGCTCTTGGTAGGTGCTATCAGTGCCATCACTGACCAGGGTAGGAATGGGTACTCAGCCTGTGGGTAAAAGGTAAGTCAGCTTTTATTCACTATGGCACAGCTCTCTAAGGTTTTCCTTTCATTATTCTTTGGAGAACTGGTCAATAATAAGGTGTGGTTATACCAGTCTTGGTTCCTAACATGTTTAAAATTTGGTTAGGTCCTTGAAGTAGAGGATTTGGATTTTTGTTTCTAAATGTTATAACGAGTTTCTCTGTGTTTTCCTCAGTGCCTGTTTGTCCACTCCTCCCTTCCAAAAGGCAGGCTTGATGGGTAACCAGCGCACTGCTGCCTGTGACTACTGGTACCTGGAGCGAGTAGCCAAGCATAGCTTCTCTCCAGTTGCCCAGCTGCAGCTATGGTTGAGAGAAGCAAAGCAGCATGTGAGAGGGATTACTGAGTACTGGATGTGGGTAAAAAGCCAGCTCTTGCCATAAATCCCCAAGTAGTACTTCTAATTTCTGCCATTTGTTCCATCTCCAGCCGGACAGGAGGCTGTTCGGTGCTTGTCAGTCCCTGGCTCACTCCAATAAAAGCTTGTATGGCATCCCGCTGCCCAGCAAATTTCGCCTAGATTTTAACTGAGAGGCAGTACCCCCGTCCCCACTCCTGCCTCCGCGGAGTGAGCCGAACAGGGAGGCCATGGTTCTGCCCGCTGAGCTCTCTCCATTGCCTGGTGCAGCCCAGCCTCCGTTTCCCTGGCACTGCTCATCTGTCATCCGTCCCCTGGCTCCTGTATCTGTTCGGGAAAAGTACTGTGAAACTGGGATTATTTCCTTTTCCATTAAATTGCCTGGCATCTCACACTCAAGGACCTACCTGAGTTTTAAAAGTGTGATTAGGGAATATAAAAGTATAAGCACCCTTTATATAAAAGCCAACTTACGTTTTCCACACCAGTTGAGTGATTTCTCCAGCCTGCGTCATCAGTGCTGGTTTCCCTGTCCGTATGCGCTCTGGGATATGTCTGTGGGAGTCCACCATCTCCAGCTATGTGCTTTTATGAACCAACTTGCAAAAGGAAAAAGATACATTTCTTCCTGGTAGGAGTATCTTCCAGGTCAGAGGTGTGTATTGGTAAAAGGTTTTACTCAAGACCTGATAATGGTCTAAACCTGTACCTTGCATTTGGTGGAGCGAAATGGTCCTTGATAACGACTTCATTTTGTGTAGGAAATGGAAATCTTAAGCCTTTTAATTAAACAAGAATATTTGTTGTTCTGTGGGGTAGCTGATCTAATCCAGTTGGATCATATCCGTCAGAAGCGGAGGGGGTCATACCTTTCGTACGCGGATTCCTGAGCACGTTAGGATAAGCGTGATACTCCCGCGCTGTGGGAGGAAGACAACTGCGGAGAACTTGTTTGGGATGTCTGAGATTCAAGGACGAAATTAGCACCTCCAGGCTATCTTTTGGTCTGCAGTCTCAGCAAATGTGACGTTTCACATCAGCTCTTCAGCCTTTTTTTGTCATCATTAGTACTGAGTGTTTAGCTACCCGGAGTTCACATCTTGTGTTCTACATAAAAACCATAAAACCAACGTTGAAACTGTTGGTCAGGGCGGTGGTGGGTCTGACGCCAGCAGGTCTTGCCATACTGGTGATCCCCTTTTGATTTCATCTGGCCTTTTCTCCTGATAGCGTGTGTGCGCTCCAGGGGGGAAGTGCTAGGGAGGAGGGTTTTTTTTCTGGAAAGCTGCTTGGTGTGAATCAGTTTTTATTAGCAGACCGTCCGTTAATTACACCAAGTTATCTTTTCGATTCATCACCCTGTGAAACAGTGACATCAGATTTGGTTGCCCTGACCTAGTCAAAATCAAGACGAGACACCCTGTGCCGGTGGTGGGTCTGACTGGCACTGGCTGTGTGCTTCTGTCTTAAGGTCTGTCGCTTGAACTGCAGATGAACCTCTCCGTTAACTTGACTGGGACTAGCGTCAGACTAATTGACCTTAAGTGGCCCTGGTTGCTGCCTTCCAGCGTTGACACGCGGTGGTGATTTCAGGCTTTGCGGTTTTCCTGTCGGCCGTCACCCACTCCCCTTGCTCTCCTCAGCGATTCCAGCCTGGATGAACCACATTTCGAGGCTTTGAGTGAAGTACATGTTCATCCCCGATTGAACGTGGTACAGCCCTGCTGAGCGTTAGACCGAAACATACTCCGTGCTCATGTAAATAACCTCGTTCTGCATCTCTCCAGGGAACGGGACTACCCGCCTTCTCGGCATCATCGCCGACTACTCGGTCACGTCCCTCTAACCGAGGTCGTGTGACGTTGCCGCTGGTTGTCACTGCCCAGGGGAGCATAGAGGGATGTCACCCCTGTGGTCCTTAAAGACCTGCTTGAGCTGGCCAGCGGATCGCAGAGATTTAGTGGGGGGTGTTGGATGCCCCCATCCAACGTGGGAGTGGGGAGACAGCAGCTTTACTTCTGTTGGTCTGGAAGGCTGGGACGCCTTCTCCTGAAAGCATCAGGAATTCGCTGTCCTTTGCGGATTTGGCAGCATGCCCATTTGTCTTGACGGTAGTGCGGGATCCTGTCTTTTATTTTAGAAGCTCTTAACAGGGACTGTTTCCCACTGCCTGTTGTAATGTTCAGCATCCTTTCCTTTGGCTATGGGCTTTGAGGAGCTGAGCCTCTGCGCAAGAACTGCCCACGTGTTACACCTCTTTCCCCTCTCATTCCAGTGAATTTCCTGCAGTTCTGCTGCTTCCGCTTCGCGCTGAATGGCCGCTTGCGGGGCATGACGGGAGGTCACATGGCAAGGCTGAGAGTTGGGCTTGTTCAGCCTGGAGAAGAGAAGGCTCCGGGGAGACCTTATAGCACCTTCCAGTGCCTGAAGGGGCTACAAGGAAGCTGGGGGGGACTTTTTACAAGGGCCTGTAGTGACAGAACAAGGGGTAACGGGTTTAAATTGAAAGTGGGGAGGTTTAGATTGGATGTCAGGAAGAAATTCTTCCCGGAGAGGGTGGTGAGGCACTGGAACAGGTTGCCCAGAGAAGCTGTGGATGCCCCATCCCTGGAAGTGTTCAAGGCCAGGCTGGATGAGGCTTTGAGCAACCTGGTCTAGTGGAAGGTGTCCCTGCCCATGGCAGGGGGTTGGAACTGGATGGTCTTTAAGGTCCCTTCCAGCCCAAACCGTTCTGTGATTCTATGATTCTGCCCCTTTGAAGGTACCGCGTGGCTTTGTTTTCCAGCACCTCTGTGCAGAGTACCGAGGTCTGCTTCTGTTGCTGCCTGTGGGCACAGTCTGCGTGTATTTGAGCCTCGCTTTTTAAAAAAACACAGACAAAAGGCCACCTTTTTATTTGTTTGTTGTAGCAGGGTGTTATAATTGGCCTAGTCTGTGGAGACGTTGTTTTCCTGTACAGCTCAAAACGGACAGGAAGGTTGTGGGGCCGCAGAATAGCGGCAGATGGTGACATACAGCTAATAAGCAGGGGCTTGTGCTCAGCTGTCAGTCAGAAGGCCCCAAAGCTTTTGAACAGAGGATTTCCATCCTGCCTCCTGCCAGGAGTTCAAGCCCTCAGAGTGAAAATCCTGCGAGACACCATCTTCAAAGTAGCAGAATTAGAGGTGATTTCTCCAAAGCACTGTATTACAAAAAAAAAAACCAAAAAAAAAACCAAAACAAAAAAAACAAACGAACCACCAAAAGACCCCCCAAAAATATAAAAAGCCACCTAAAAGGGCATACCTTTCTCAAATGGCTGACTCAGGGGAGCGTTACGCACCCGAGATCTGACATTAACCACTGCTCACGGCGAAACACAGCCAGAATCTTAATTTGGGAACGGGGAGGGGGAGGGGAGAAGAGGGACTGGGGAAAACGAACTGCGGGCAGCGCCGCGGCGTTCCTGGGGAATCTCTACCCTCTCAGCAGCCGCAGAAAGGCCCAGCTGCCTGGCCTCGGGAGCCCAGCAGTTACTGCTGGAAGAGTCGGGGAGGGAATGGAAGTGAGCTGCGGTTCTGCGCCGCACCCGGTAACAGAACACAGGCATGAGCCATGCTGACCAACCGAAGGGGTTGACTTGTGTTAGGGAGTTTTTTGACCTTTTGCTGTTTAAGAAGGTTTATCCACAAGTCATGGAGGTTTGTGCAGACTTATTTTGTGAGAGGGGAAAACCCCGTTAAAAATAGGGGCGGTACTCCCTCTGCAGCACCTGGGCTGCTCTGTTCACGCACCTTGGACAAAGCCAGCCCTGGTGACTTGAGAACACTGAGGTGAGCGCTGTTGTCCGAGCAACATCTTGCTCTACACTTCGCCTGTGTACTCGGCACGCGCAGGAGCAAGCAAACGATCCTGGGTCTGAAATCCGACATATCCCGAACCCAACTAGCTCCGCAGGAGCTGGCCAGAGGCGCCAAGGATCACTGCTTGGCCACCAATGATTTTGTCAGTTCTTCTGTTCTAGGAGAAGAAAATAAATTTCTTCTGAGCGTTTCTCGGAGCTCAGCAAGAAGGAAAGCTACAGATGCACGCACACCCACCCGAGAGTTTGGAGAAGGGCAGCAGAACTGATGCTGGTTTCTTTCGGGGTGTCTTATGTCTCCTTCAGGCCTCCTGCGTGGGCTTGTGGGGAGAGCAAAGGAGTTCAATTTAGTGAAACCATCTGCATGTTCTTCATAGTTCAAGCTCCACGAAGAGATCCGTTGGACCAAGGTCCTTCGTGTATTCAAAACAGAAATGCGGCATCGGAGACTCGGGCAGAGCCTGCCCGCAATGATGCTGCTGACGGAAGTGTCCATGGATGCTCGGGACGCTGCCGATTGCGTTTTTTACAGAGCCTAGGGAAAAGGCTGTTTGCAGTTCAAACACCTTTCTGAGGGCAGAGGATTTGAGATTTTGGTTCTGGGTTGCGTTTGCTCTTCGTTAAACACCTCGGTTCACGTTTGCAGTCTCGGCAGGGGAGAGGCTGGGGGGAGCTGCATTGGTACGACGGCTTTGGGGTGCGGGGGGATGGCCCAGTCCAGCTCGGGGCGATAGCTCACCATGGCAGTGCCAGCTGGCACGAATCGCTAAACCCATCAGAGACTGAACCTGCCGCGCAGGCTGGGCGGAGAAAGCGTACGCATTGTGCGATCGTACTTTTAAAGGACTGAAAAGTAATTGGGGAAGTGTTTTTAAACTGTAAATGCAATAACCTCTTTTTTTAAGAACAGCCTACCTCGGCACACGCCCCTGCCTGTCGTTAATCTCTCACCTGCTACCCGACCTCCGTGCGCCTCGGAGGTTCACCCTGGCAGCCACAGTGACGTCTTTGTAACGGCAGAAGCACGTGACTCTTGTTCCTGGTTTGTCTGTCCGCAGTACTCGTGTGCAGTCACGAAGGAAGCAGCCGGAGGTGTGGTGGACAGGGAGACCTCCTTTCCGGTTCTCTTGGAGTCTTGGCGCACTGGGCGTTTCTTGCCGGAGCAGAAAGAACAAATGGGTATGAAAATTAACTAATAACTTCTTAATTCTTGCGAGTCTTGTGTTCTCCTCTGGCAGCTGTTGTAGACCTGTGTCATGGGTTAACCCCAGCCAGCACCTAAGCCCCACACAGCCGCTCGCTCATTCCCCCCGCTCCGGTGGGGCGGGGAGAGAATCGGAAGAATAAAGGTGGGAAAACTCGTGGGTTGAGATAAAAGCACTTTAATAGGTAAAGCAAAAGCCGTGCACAAGCGAAGCCAAACAAGGAATTCAGGCGCAGGCAGGTGCTCAGCTATCCATAGGAAAGCAGGGCTCCATCACAAGTAAACGGTGACTTGGGAAGACAAACGCCATCGCTCCCAATACGTGTGTGTGTGTGTGTCCGTCCCCTTCCTCTTCTCCCCCCAGCTGTATATGCTGAGTGTGACGTCACATGGTATGGGATACCCCTCTCGTCAGTGGGGGTCAGCTGTCCCAGCTGTGTCCCCTCCCGACTCCTTGTGCACCTCCAGCCCACTCTCTGGAGGGGTGAGGAGCAGACTAGTTGGTCCCTGTAGCCCCGTAGTGTTGCTGCGACAGTAGCTGTTTGAAATGAAGTTCACAGGAACCCTGACACAAGGAGTTAGGGAATAACAGCCCCTCTTCCCAATAAGTAATGAGCTACTGATGCTTGAGGAGCAGAGACCTTTTGTGGTTTGGGGATGCTTCCTGGGATGCGCAGATAGCTGTCCGTGGGAGGTGACTGGTGGGTGCGTGCGCTGCCGTGAGAGCACTGCAGGAGGTCCCCCGGGAGGAGCGAGGGACGGACCGTTCTGAAACCTGACATACCTAGACAGGAGGGATGAAGCCAAGATCGTTTGTGTTGCTGAAATTGCAACTGTCCCTAAAGTGGGAATTCTGTTTCGCTTCATTAAAAGGGTGGCTTCACTTTTGCACGGTGTACAGCAGATCGGCTGTTGGAGGGATTAGCCAGCACAGCACGTGTTCTCCAGGCTCTCCTGATCTGGGCTCCTGCTGCTTTTCCAAACAGCTCCCTCAAATTCCTTTATTTTAGAGATGAAGGAAAAGTGGGAGTGTAATCGGCATCAGTAACACACCGTGTCTCCTGTGGCGGTGCTAAGGTGACCCT